GGTTCATGGGGTCACGAAGAGTCGGACACGACTTAACGACTAAACAACAACAACAAGTTGCTTGAAAGTTTGTTGCTTTCAAGAATTTTAAAATATTTGTAATTTTTGAAAGCGTACTATATTGGTCAAGATGTTGGACAAGTGAACCCAGGTTCAAGTTCCCATACTACCATGACTTCATGACTGAGTTTGAACTAGTCACTCTTTCTCACTCCATTTTAGTTCATAGTGTTGGTGAGGCCACCATGTACATTGTCCAGTAGGAAAGGCAAGATGAAATAATAATGTTTTTCACCAAGTATTTTGGTAATTTTCACACTTTTATACAGTAGATAGCAAATTTAGCCTGATGCTACTGACTTGCATTCACTTCTTTGACTAAATAGGCAAATGCTTGGTATTGTGATCTGTCTTTAATAAAAATTGTAACATCTAAGGATATTCCAGTAACTTCTTTAATACCATCCATTCTATTTAAAACAATAGAATATAAGTGTTGGAAGATAGTGTAGAGATCATATAGCCCAGCCCAGTGCAAGAATCCTTTAGTACAGCATGCATGAAATATGGTGATTCTCCTCTATTTAATGCCTCCGGTGGAGAACCATTCACCACCTAGTCTATTCTACTGCTGAACAGCTCTTACACTTAAGATTTTTCCTGATGCTCAATCAAAATCAATTTCCTTGTAATTTAAAGATACTGTTTCTTGTCCTGTCTACTACATTTCAACTATACGATCAGTCTATCAAAAAAAGGAGTTCAGATTGGCTCCTGCTAAGCAATGCATTTTTTCTAAATACTCACAATGTTTAATAATTTTTAATGTATTTTGCCTGGTGTCAGTGTTAAATGGGCTAGTCTGTAGTTACCTGGGTCTTCCTTATGTAAAGGGATTTAGTGTAATCTTTCCATCTTTCTTTAACCTCATTTGCCATTGTTAATTGTCTTCTGTAATTATTCTTGAATAATTCCTGCCTTAGCTGTAAATTTCCCTGTGATTCCTCTGATCTTTTTAAAAAATATACTTCATTTTCTTTTCTTGCTATTTTCCTCTATTTGTTGACATCCTTGCTTGAGATGTCTTTCCATATCCTTCTTGCTTGAAACTGGAAGTCTTGATTCAGTCATAACATGTCCTTTTTGTTGCTCAGGGCATTCATCTTTTTGTTTTTGTTGTTGTTGCTATCATGATAGCTTGTTCTAAAAGCCATTTGGATCTTTTCATCTCTGAATTTTTATTAGTTTTTTTTTTCCTAGATTAGTTTTCATGATGTTCCTTATATATTTCCACGGTTCCCTTCCGCATCAGTTAATTATACTGAATCTGTTCTCTACATTAACATAACATTCTGATGACATGTTTTCCAGACCATACTTTGCTACTACACTTACTCTTTAAACTTCAGTCCATGTATTTGACCCTAAGAGTTCCACGATCTGTTCCTGTACCTGGAAGTGGTAACCGGATTGTACTTCTTTAGTCTATTTGATTCCAGTCTTATTGATCTGGTAATGTCTGGGTGTAGAATCTTCATTGATGCTTCTTGAAGTATGTATTGGAAATAAAACTATCTTAACAAAATCCAGTTAACTTACTGCACTTATCCAATCAAATTTTTCCTATGATTCTAGAGTCCTCCATTTCTTCTATTTAACAGCTAAAGAGCTCTGAGGAGGGAAACTTCAACAGCAGTCTTAATTGCTGTGCCATATCAGCTTTCTTTTCCATTTTCTTGTATTAGATAGTCAATCCCATGTTAGCTCATATTAGAATGCTGTATCAATATAATAATAATGTCTGCTCCATTGTAATGATTTCATTATCTCAGGGTGACTAGTGGTCTTCCTCTGACAGTCCTCAAGAGTGATCATCCCTACTTTTTTCCATTTATTGTTTTATTACAACCAGTAGTATTGGATTGCCTCTGACTTAGCAGTTATCAATATTTATTGAATTAATGATTTCTGCCAATTACATATACAAGAATGTGCCAAATTTTAACAATGTAATTATATTTAGTCTTTAATTATATAACAAAAGATTGCCAAATGTTTTGTCATATGCAGGAATAAGCCTAAAATAGATATTGAAGATAGCAGCTTAGCCTTTATCGTCATAAAATTGTCAGATGTTATGGGGAAATCATATGATTTCCTGTTCAAGTGTAAAGCAGAGAAAGAGGAAAATGTGGACAGAACATGATACAGTGTTTGGTAGCTCGTGGAACTTACAATTCAGCCATTGTCTAAAATGTCTGTTCTACAGTAATATTTTCCTAATTTATAGAAATTAATAATCACTTTATTAGAGATTTTAGTCAGAATGGCATCCAATTAATGCAAAAAATATTTGAGTAAATAATATTCTGACTTAAAAATAATGACTGCCATATTAGAAAGCAACTAAAGATATATATCTAACTGAATTTTTTTCCTATCCTCATTTGTCATTAGGTATCACTGAAGACAGTAAAAGTACATGTCATCTTATCTTCAAGCCTAGTAAATATATATAGTTTTAAGGTCATGTCTTGGAAATAACATTGTTTTTTAAATGTACTGTGTCAAAATATATGCAGTCTCTTGGCCACCTGTTGCTTGATAAGAGTCGGAAAGAATAACATGAAGTTCATCTCCCTTCCCTTCTGCTGCTTTATCTGTCATTACCATTTTGAAATTTTGTGTGCTTCTGTGATGCATTTGGATTAATATGGATGGTTTTATGTTCTAATGATTCATTTAATTTGTGAAGAAATATTATGTTCTAAAAGAGTGAGAAATGTAATTCCTATTCTGTTTTTCATCTTATAACATGTGTTACATGTAATATTTTGTTGAAGGACGAAAAAAATCAGAAGCAAAGCAGTGTTGGTTCTGGTAGTACATTTTTATAAACAAAGTGACACAAATTGAGACAGAAATACCATAGGGAAAAGCCAAGAGAACCAAAAAAACTGAAACACTGCACAGAGTGACATCCCTTCCAGATGGTGTTTTTAATACATTTATCAGGCAGATATGAAAGACGATAATGAACATTCAAAATGGGGAGTGGCAACCTTCTCTTGGGAACAGAAACAGCATGGAACTTTCTGTGTGCTGAAATTATTTGATTGATCTCTAATATCCTTCTGTGTAATATAGTGTAGCATGCTTTTCCTTAGCATGTATTATGAAATACCTTGGACAGTGTTCCTCATAAGTAGACCAAAAGATCATTTTTAATAAATAAATTTTATTTGTGTTGATATAGATAACAAAATAGTTAAACAATGAAACCAAGTTTTAGAAACACCTTAAAATCAAAACATACATCAACAACTTTGAACAAGTTAATTAAATTCATTTATTAGTGTAATCCTCTTAGTATCCTCAGGTACATGCTAGCAACTGAAAATGTCAGAAAAATAAGATGCATTAACAGAGTATTAATTATGCTGTATCTTCTAAATCTTGAATTTAGTTTTTTAAAGCTGTACAGATAGGATTTACATAAGATATATCACCTCTTTATTTGTACAATGAATGTTCTAATTCAGTAGAAATTTATTGACACTTCAGGTGCTTGGAAAATAAAAGAAAAAGGAAGACTTCTTAACAACCGCACTTATGTTGTGGCTATGTCTATTACCCATCTGCTATGATGTTTATTGGTCTCTTTCCTTCTCTTAATGGCTGTTATTTAACTTCATCCACTTCTTCAAAACAATTCTTGATTATGGGCTTTGTAGTGCATACATCAAGTTGGTTAACCAAAGTGATTGTTACAATATGTCTAAATACTTGTTTGCTGAATTTTTGTTCTATAACTGTTTTGAAGTTAAAGGATTTCTGGCCTTCACTGATACAATTCATTCATTGCTCATTCATTTTTAATCTTTCCTCTGAAATGTAATCCATGTATTCCTGTGCTAGCAACGTTTTTGCTTATTTTTATTCTTCCCCAGATAGAGAAACTGATGAAACTGAGTTGCCTGTGCCTGCCTTTGATTTCTTTTGTATTTTAATTTTCAGTTCCCACTGAGAATGTTGCAACAGTTGCAGATTGTGCCAGCGTGATTGAGGGCGTGAGCCGTAGCCGCAATGCTTTGTTGAATGGAGACACAAAGAATTATGACTGGGATTCTGGGTATACATGCCATCAGCTAGGCAGTGGTGCTATTGTTGTACAGCTGGCGCAGCCATACATGATTGGATCAATTCAGTAAGATTTCTTTTTTCATGTAAAAATAGTTCAGTAATGAGAATTCATGCCTCCTGATAGCTGCTGTGAAAAGTTCATGGTTTTCATGCACTAATAGTGTTCTTAACATATAAAACCTAACTTGAAAAGCAAGCCAATGTGTATATGTACATACACACATTTGATGTAAAAATAGTGACATAACTTGAGGGCAATCAATTTATTCTGTGCTGAGGATAGCATCAGAATCAGAGTGCCTCCAATTTGTCTTGTTTTATATTGCTGCATGATTTTTACAATCTGCATAGCCTTGAGCTGATGAAATATTTATTTATCTCCTCAAATTTACCTAAGAGTCAGTGTGAACAAAATGAAATGTTACTGTGCTAAATGAGGAAAAGTAGATTAAAGTTCCTGGCCATCCATGAAACTCACTATACAACTTCAGACCAACTGCTATCTCCCTTCTAATCGTATCTTTTTATTTGGGGGGGGAGGTCAGAGGAGGATAATATTATTATTTGTGGAATAAGGTAAGAAGACAACTATTTGTATTGCTCAGAGAACTTTGGGAACGAAAATTGAAATATTCAAGTTTCTTAAAGATGCATGACAAAGGTTTGGGGACTACTGCAAAATACTCAACTCTAAAAAAGAATTTAGGATTTTTCTATATATGTAAGTCATTATAATCTTTTAAAAACGGACTCCATCACAGTATAAGTGAGATGGAGAGTCATTAAAGAGGAAATTTGTTTCCTTATGATAAAATAAACTCTGATCAGTGCAAGGAATTATGCTTTCTTTGGTTCTGGTTTCTCATATTTTGCTGTTAGAATGGTGAAGCTATGAGAAGGTAGTGGCATAAATGAAGGACAAAATACTGAAAAATTATATATAATGATGTTGTGAATTTGTATTCCAAGCTGTGGAATACAGAGGGAAGGTTTTTAATGTAATTGGCCAATAGTGAGAATACTGTTCTCCCCAGAACAACATTGATGTGGCAGCCACCAAACTGTTGTTCATAAAGGAGGCATCCTTCAGATGATCTCCCATACCTCTTTTTTTGTAATAGTGGCCGTTATGCTGACCATGTTGACTTAGTGACCCTGGATTTGCTCTCTCTCTCAACTCCTGGAAATGCTGCCAGATCTGCTTTTCTGACAACACAAGATAGACCTTTTCAAGCTCCAGTAGAAACATTCTGACTTTAATGATAAATATTATGTTTGGAGAAAACAAAACACTGCATTCCAACAAAACAATTTTAACTCAGTTGTAAAGCATGGTAGTGGGAGTATCATTGTTTGAGACTACTTTACAGTCTCAACACCTGGATGATTCATAATCACTGAGAGAACAATGGATTCTTGATTGTACCAGCAAATTCTATAAACTGGGATAGTCCCCAAGAGGTGGGATGTCCTATCAAGGTCTGAACTGACATTAGGAATTTGGATCATTTACAAACTTCTTACAGGCCCATACAGCACCAGATCAGATGGGCACAACTGTTTTCTTAATTTAACTTATGTTTCTAGTTCACAGAGTAAGTAAGCTGATGCTTTATTTTATGTCAGCCACAATACTACTTATCTTATAGCCCTCCTCTGACCTCCATTAAATGTCTGAACTCCTTCCCCTGCTCTAAACACCTGGTTCTTGGGGCTAGAAAGAGGATTCTTCCCCTATCTGATTAAATCCATACTCAGCACAATCCATACATGTTGGCTCAGATAGGTGTCACCATTTCAGGCGATCTACAGGAACCATCTAAGCCCACTGCCAAATGCTTCCCCGCTCTCCACAGTCCAGAAGCCTCCCATTTTCTCCAAGAACTGCTAGCTGCTTGGCATTTTCTGAAGGATCAGCTGGATCATGTCAAAGACTCCTTCATTTGCTGTGCTGATCATTATTACCAGGAAACTCCTCATCCCTGCTGCTGTTGAAGATCACATCTGGCTTTCTATCAGATTTCTTCCCTTCAAACAACTACCTACAAATCTGGAAACCAACCTTACTGAACCATTTTCCATAACTGCACAAATCAGTCCTGTAGCCTTTAATCTGTAGCTTCCAGCCACACTGAAAGCGCATCCCATTTTCTACTGATCCTTCTTGACATACCCCCTTATGCACCTCTGCTCCACCATTCCATCCCAACTTGAAGGAGAGAAACAATTTGAAGTGGAATGTATTTTGGATTGTTAGTACAGGAAAGGCAAATTGGAATATCTGATTCACCAGAAAGGCTACTCCGATACAAAATGCTCATGGGAAGTAGCAGATGATGTACATTCCTCTCACCTACTTTGGCAGTTCCGTTTTCAGTACCCTCAGAAGCCTAAATCACCTGGCTGACTGAACACTCGGGCTTCATCACCTACCAACAGTTCTGTCGCTGAGGGGGAGGAGGACATTGAGGGAGGAGACATTTGAACAATTACCAAGAGAGAGACAGAGTGAGATGGAGAATCCTAGAATGGAAGGGAAGATCATGACAAAGAAATAGATCAGAAGAGTCATCTCTCCATTTCTGCTGTCCTTTCCTGTTCAGAGAGAGGGAAAGGTAGAAAGGGGGAGAAAGTTCATTAACTTCAACCAAAAAAGAAGAAACAGAAAGGGCACACTGCCCTCCAGCCACCCATGATCAGATGGAAGAAGAGGAAGAAGCATCTGATGCATTCAGAGTGGGAGGGAAGGAGAAAATCCCTGGTGGTGTAAAGGATGAAGTTAATAAAGCGTGGACTAGTGGTTTTCCAGCTAGACAGAACACTAAGGAGTTTATCTCCAAATCTTAAGGCCAAATTTCATATACTGGTAAAGGCAGGAAGAAAAGGCCTTGAACTCAAACTCTGGAGTAAACATATATAAAGCTTGGTTTCTGACCATATATGGCTTGTGTCTTGTCTGCAATAAAACAACTTGTCTAGCATTGTCATGTTTGTGAGCTACTGCTATAAGCAACTCCCTGAATACAGGGTAAAACATATGGAGAGTCAAGATTTATTGCCATGCCTGGTGCGAAGTCTGACGCACTTTACTAAAGCACAATTAGCACATAAAATTTCAGAAAGGTTTTTCAGTGGGAGATTAAAATGTTGCATTTTCATCTTTGATACAGAGAACCCTAGAGATTTTTATCATTATTCATAAAGGAAAGAAAAGGCAGTTTACAAAGTATATAATTTATCTTAAAACAGAATTATTGCAAAGATTTATGTGCTCAAGTATTCAAGAAACATTATTCCAGGGTATTTTCTCAGCATCCCCACTTGCCTCTTCAGAATAATTAGACAATATTGAACAGAAATAAAAATTCTTGTTCCGGAAGCAGACAACCCAGCAGGATTAGTGGTCCAAAGACAAACTATAAAAAGCAGGATCTCTGACATGTGTAACACTTGTAAATGCAACCTGAAGATAAATTGAGCCTTGCAGAATATTAGAAAGGGATACAATTGTCAAATATCACTGATGAAAAATATCAGGAATACAGACATATACAAATACACATTCAGTCAGTCACATATGTTCTTTAAGATGGGGACAGAAATATTATGCTCAACCAACCATAGTATAGATCTGAGATTATTAACCAAGAAAGATTAATTTTATGACTGCCCTCATTTTTAAAGTATAGCTCTTGTGTTTCACTTTTTTTAACAGGTACATGTGTTCTCCTTAAAATAAGAGGCTCAGAGAGTCTTACTAAAATATGAGTGGATGCTATCACATTTTGATTACGATCATTGTTACTTGTTTCAATTAATGAACTGCTAACAAGGTTGCTGCTACTGAGGCAAATGTTTAACATTCTAGATATTGAAGAAAGTGAGCTGGCTGAATTTGCTCTGCCCCACAGGGCAAGTTGACTAGCAAAAGCTAATTCATTGTTCTATTTTTATATAGGAAGATTCTGTAGTAAAAGCATTATTACCTTTTATACATGGAAATACACCCCCCCTTTTTTTTTGGCCTTAGCATATCCATCACAGCATAACTTAGCTTCTTCATAGTTGTTTACTACACTAGATTGCTTGCTTTTGAAATTTTAAGAAATTTAGCCACTGGATACAACAATATGCCCTGGAGAATATACAGTTACCTGGGAGACATTTAGTGACAGACTGAAAGGACAAATAGTGTGTGTCAGATTGTTGTGAGGTATCAAAGATGGTGGAATTATGTCATGTTTTTGCTTGTGCTTGAAATAACTTTTTTAAAACTTTTTAAAGTTTCAGATGAGTAGCCCTGTTAGTCTGTTTTGCAAGAAAGACAAAAATAAGAGCTATACAGGACCTAAAGATCTAATATATTTAGCATGTCAAAAGCTGTTGCACATTATTCATTTACTAGATTTATGTTCCATCTTTCCACCAAAGAATGGCTGAAGTTCACCATAACAGATAGATAGTATTACGCATATTGCTCTCAGTCAGGGAATAATACCATTCAGAAACTAGTAGAAAAATAGTTTAATATCCGACAGCATTCCTTTGAAAGTGGCAGGTGTTCATTTAATTGTTGCTGTTGTGAATGGTTAATATATTTATTCAGCATATATTTAACATTTAATTGAATTGTAACTGAGTTTAGATTTTGCATTTTACTTTATTCATTTTATCTATTTATTCACATTTTACAAATTATTCATTTTTAACCCATGGGTAACACCCCTGCCAACTGAGGAAAACATTTACACATCAGATTCTTCTTCACAAAAACTTAGGCTATAATAAATCAGTTATCTTTAACCTGTTACAAGACGCTTTATCCTCGGCATGACATTTTGGGAGAAATTGCATTTTTTACCTTACTGAATATTTATAGTCTTACAGAATTGGTATACTTCCAAGAAACTAAAACAGCCTTAAGCACTGCATACAGTACCTAACGTTTTGTTAACACTGGGTAAAGATTCTGTAATGATCAACCATTCTGCCCTTTACACAAATGAACCATATATTCATAATTTTTTGGTTCTGAGACCCTCCCCTGGTAAGTTGCTTTGTAGTTAAGCTATTAAGCAACCAAAATTGTATTACCTACTGATGTACAATTCAAAATAATTGAATTTTGATATCCTTCCTATTACTCTGACGATTTGAATCAAGGAAACTGCAGAGAGTCCCCAGTGATAAAAATGATTTCATTGGAAAATCTAATTAGATTCTTTACTTTTTTTTACATGTTTTTGTCTCAGTACTTGTAATTCTTCAAGAGATTTAGCCTATAATTAAAATTTCCACATTGATTTACAACTATGTTTATAAGCTCAACAGACATCTGAGATTCTGTCCTTAAGTTGACAGATTTTTTAATAAGCAAGTTAGCTACAGCTTTGCTTAGAGCAACCAAAAGACATCTGTGCTAAACAAAAAGCCAGTGAGTGAGAAAGCAGAATTTTAGATAGCTGGATGTTTCTTCTAATCAAATGTAGAATGCTGCTTTTGGGAGTTCTAATGGAATCAGCTCTAAATTTTTAATTTGCAGAAGCTCAGCATTAATGAGAACTAAAAGTCTCTTCTTTCAAAGGTCTTTTATTTTAGCTTCTGAAATTATTTATTAATAATACCCTAGGTTTATATAGAGGGTTCTAAAGTAGCTTTTGGAAATCTTGTTTGTCCAGTTTGTCAGCCTAATCAATGTTAAAAGATTTACAGATCTGAAGAATGAAGCTTTTTTATTATTCTTGAGATATAAGAGTAATATTTTTATAAAATAAGCCCAATTCTGAATTGGTGGTTATTTTCTTTGAAATTAATAGGGTTCTTTCCTTAAGCAAAGGTAGCACCAACCCTTACAACAATCCTTCAATATTAAAACAAAGCATCTGACATGGCTGTTAGTGAAGAATGAAATGATTTTGTAGAAGCAATACTTTTTTCCAGCAGTTGAAAGCAAAGAAGATGACTCCAATGGGGAGTAGGTGATTCATAATGTAAAATATAAATAGTCTAAGAAGATTGCCATAACTGCCTGTAGAGAAATAAACATAATTATTTGGGTAAGAGAAAAATCTGTAGTTAAATTACAGTTGAAATCTAATGCAGAAAATCTGATATCCAAAGATACTTTTGCTACTTATTGCAGCCATTGAAAACATGCTTCATAATGGTGGAAAGAACATATATATTTCATAGATTTTAATTAATATTTGCTCATTAAACTTTAGGTGGCCATTTATTCAAGCACTCCATTGCTTTCTGAATTTGAAAAATAGGAAATTCCAAGAGATTAGGGAAGGATGCTATCTACCACAAGAATGTTCTAGCATGTCTAATGAGCTAAACTATGAAAGCTGCTATGGTTAATAATTTTGGTAGATTTAAAATTCATCCATTGTTATTTATTATTTCCAGGATCTAAAGAAGCATATATGTGGCCCAGTAGGAATGGACTTTTCCTCTTGTAGTCTTCCCAGAGCATCTGGCCATAGTGGGACATAAAATAGTTTAGATGGCTCTTTGATCTTATGCAGGAGGGTTCTTCTAATGGTTTTAGGATGTATCAGCCCTTTGAGGTAGTTCAGACAAGAAACCAAATCCATGACTACTAACACTACTTTTATTTTAAGGTTACAGTAACAGAACCCTGTAAGTCTGAAAGCACTCTCCTCCCTTGCCATTACTTTCCAGAGATCTAGGGAGGGTCCCTTCTGAGATATTTTCCATGCTCCCATTCCTTCAGTGGGCTGAGATATCTCTTGTCTGACCTTTGTCTAGGCTGTGGATCCTCCTCCTCCTGTCTCCCCCCCCCCATCTCTCTCTCTGGTTGTGTGTGTGTGTATGTATCTCTCTCTCCACCTGAATGTCACTGGGCTTCCAGGTATGTGGATACACAATTCTATTTATCATGAGATGAAGGGGGGGGGGGAGCTGCCATGTTAAGTATTGCTACGAGTTTGATATAAATTATGATATACAAATTAAGTCACAAAACATATTATGCATATCACAATCAGTATGTTAGCCACTCTTTTTTTCCCAGAAGAAAAGTATCAAATTACTTACCTTTGGGGACTGGGAGCACATTTGGAATTCTTAGATGGTCTCAAGGCCACCTTCATAAAAATGCTGTGATGGATATGTGGCTGTTTAAAAAACATCTTAAAGGTATTAAAAACCAAGGTTTAAAAAGTATATCCGCTATCAAGAAACAAGGTAGCTTCAATTTAAAGTACCTCTCACTAATCCCCGTGTCCATAAAACCAGTTGATAATTCCAGTGTGCAAAAGCTCAAAGATTTTTTTTTTCTGAATTACTATATGTTACAAAATCTGAAGTGAGATTATTTTAGAAAGCCAAATTATCAAAAACATCTCTGTAGTATTTGAAAGTCTTACCTGTATATTTAAATTTTTGGTCTTGAAGATTTAAAGCTAAATAATGTTCTTTATGGCAAATGATCCTCAAATAATTTAAAAACCCAATTATTAATACAAAATTACATACACACAGAGAGAAGTGACTGTTGAATTCTTTATCTATCCTTCAGGTTACTTCTCTGGGATTGTGATGACAGGAGCTACAGCTATTACGTTGAGGTTTCTACCAATCAGCAGCAGTGGACCATGGTGGCTGACCGAACAAAAGTTTCTTGCAAGTGAGTTTCATTTAAATGTTTGGAGCAGAAAATCTGGCAATATCCAATACATATAAATAATACATGAGTTAGAACCTTTCTTTATGTAATATATTTGTACTTTGGCCAAGATCAAAATTGAGAATTAAAAACTTGTGAAAGAGTTTTGATTTTTGTTGCATAAAGGTTCATCCTTAGAATCACAGTAAAGAAGGATATTTCTGGTGAATTTAGTTTGAAAAGTGAATTTTTAAACAAGGAAGGTTTAGTTCTACTTTTTTTTTAATATTCTTTAATGTGGGAATGGATAATGGTATTCTCCTTCCTTACTGTTTCTATTTACCTAATCCAGCATTGATGAGTTAATTGTTTGTTTATGGAATTAGATTATAGTATAAAGAGTACCTGCAAAGTCCCAGCAGGAAAAATAAGACAACCATTTTCAGCAAACCTCTTTGATCAGTGAGAAGGCCAAAAAAAATAATGAGAAACAAAAGAGAGGAAAATGAAATTCAGTATACATGTCAGGAAATGCATTTGATAGTCTAGTCAAGTGTGAAAACTTGTTTTCAAGTCTGCATATGCTGCCTTTGGTTGGTTTAATTGTATTTTAATGTAGTATTTTTTGTGTAAATTAATTATGTAGAACTCAGGGCCTGAAGTGACAGGTTATTCTTAAAGCCCTCTACACTTTTTACTAATTTTCAAAATGCTGATGATGGAAACGTTGGTGTATTTATTATGTTTAGAGAGGAAACTTGTTGTCATCTTTAAATGGAAGCCAATTAATGCATATTGGCCTTGTAATTGTCATTTTAAATGCTGTGCACAGGCTAAAAAAAAGAGTCCCTTCTGGAAAAATTCTGTTTTCTCGACACAACATGACAGTAATGAAATGGATTCATGTTCTCTTCTCTCTAAAAGGGCAAATATTTCTGATGTTTGGTTTCTTGGCCTTAACAATAGAAATATATGCTTGGTAAAAAATTTGCATGCAAAGATACTAAACTTATTTCATACAGGAAGATAGCCAAGTAAATAAATAAATCAGAAACAGTAACAAACAGAAAAATAATCTGAATCAGTAAAATTATTCTAAATCTGCCAACGCCAAAGGCCATAATGTCTGAAGATATCAGTGTTGGTATTGTGTTGACCTTCTTGGGACAGAAAGTGATCTTCCCCATGAGCAATCTACTGAAGTTGATAAATCAAGCTTTTAAATTTTCTTTGCCTGTTCTCAAATATTTTTTTTATTTTTGTATTTATTTTTTCTTTTCTTTTGTAATAATAACAAAAAAAGAGAAAAACAGAAACAAAACACAAAGATACATACATTATTTTAAAAAAACAGTTAC